CTGAGAGAATTCACACCAGCTGTGGCAGCGAGAGACGTTTCCCTCCTGAGGTTTGAAGGTGTTTCTTCAACACCAGAACTGTGTGAGAGTTTGACCAATAGGTGTTGAGTAAGACGACAAATCTGTAGCCAATAAAGGTTTTTTTTTTATTCTAGATATTGTTTTCTGCTGCTAACGAATAGCTATTGGAATTATTTTCAGTTTGATTTTGGCTAACTCTCAGTCCTGGAGTTTTTCTGGATTTAGGCTTTGAGCCTAATTTTTTTCTTAATTCAAATATTTCAAAATTTTCACTATATTTGCACTATTTTACCAACTTTCTTTTCCAAGAAGCTTTGGTTAGCGTTTAGCTAGTTCAAGGTACTTTACTTTCCTACTTTAGCATTAATCTAACCTTCACCCTGTAATCCTAACAGCAGGTAAAGACTTGGCTGCAGACATTAGTGCAGTGTGAGCCACAGAAGGACGTTTCCCACTCACATTCTAATGAATGTACTGTACATGGCCGTGTGTAACACACACTACGTACTTCATCGGCACATTATAGGGTTTTGGAAAAGAACAGCAAACACTAGAGAGAGCAGTAGCAACAGTGATGGATGTAGTATTAGTTATTGTTGGCTGGTGGAGCCTTTATAAAAACAAGTGCTTTAACAGTTAGAAAAATATGTAAAAGTACTCCAAAGTACTCCAAAGTACTCCAAAGGGGGAAAAGGAAACTGTAACTTTGAAGGACTGATGCAGGGAAGTGTATTATGAGCAGCAGTGGTTTGGGGTAACCACACACACACACACACACACACACACACATACTGCACTGTACAACACACACACAGATATTTTCCGTATGTAAATGTGTCGAGAGAAGTGAGAACGGAATCCATCGACTCTGACTCCGACTATCCATCCATCCATCCATTTTCATCCGCTTATCCGTTACCGGGTTGCGGGGACAGCAGTCGCCACCCAAATCACATTGCACCATAACAACCCCCCCAAACCTTCCTGTCAGTCTTGGAATTCCCTTAAGACCAACTTTATAGAAGGATTCGATCAGAAAATTGATGATAAATAATAAAACATACTCAGGTTTAGTAACTAGATTTTTAACCCAAATTTAACCCAAAAAAGCACAGTCAGCAAACACTAAAATGTCAGGCTGAACTGTGGCTAAATCTTAGCTCATCACAACAAACACAGACCTTGATTTTGGTAAAGAATCAAGGTCTGTGTTCTCTGATAAGTTCAGTCAGAGCAGTGAATCAGTTCAGTGACCAGAACCGATTGACGAGTACCAGAAGCAAAGGTATTGGCAGGAGTCCAGAATTTGGCAGTGGGTTCTGGCCCAGAACAGTTCCAGTGACCAGGTTTTCAAAATAAAAGACAGAGTTTACACAACACCTCTGAAACTGCTGCTGCTGCTGCTGCTGCTACTGCTCCTGTTACTGCTGCTGCTGTTACTGCTGTTGCTTTAACTCTCAGAGAAACTCTGTCAGTGTGGCTGGGATTCAATTCCAAACCAGATCCCTGTTACTACTGCTGTTACTGTTCCTGTTACTGCTGCTGCTGCTGCTGTTACTGCTGCTGCTGCTGCTGCTGCTGTTTCTTTTACTCTCAGAGAAAC